TACACCTGCTCCTGTGAAGAGTTTTCAAAATTATGCAAGAGTTTTCCCAAAGGAAAGCCCACAATGTTCAGAATCAGTCAGGATGGGAGATATCAGAGATAAGCTGTGAAGGTGGCAAAGACATTTGTCCACCTAATCTCAGTCTGGCTCTGTTTACTCAGGGCACGTTTATACTTACTGGAAGACAGACACTCTGAAAGTCGATCTTCTGGCATTTGATTTAACAGGTCTAGTATAGACCCGTAAATCAAATGCTTAGGGCAGCCTCTACTGGTGTTCAGTACCCCTTCTTTTGCAAGGAGTAAGGGAAGCCGACCGGAGCTTTTGCTCGTCAGCTTCCCGCAGTGTGGATGCGGCCAAGGCTCAGTTTAAGGTAAGCCGACGCCAGCTATGTATTTTGCCAACCTTCCTGGTCTAGTGTAGACCAAGCCTCAGTGGGTTGCCTAATAAATTCAAGGAGCTTCTGATGCTCACTGCACTGCCAGGGCTCAGTGATGACTCAGTTTCCCTTACTAAACAGCAAATAGTACTGCACCACCTTAGAGACTAACAAAAAATGTGGATGGTATCATAAGCTTTCATGGGCACAACCTACTTCTTCCCATGAAAGCTTGTGATACCATCTACATTTTTTGTTAGTCTCTAAGGTGCTGCAGGACTATTCACTGTTTTTTAATTTTTTTCAGTTAGACTAACACAGCTGAAACTTTTCCTTTACCAGTTGACTGTGATTCTCCTCATACACTAGTGTAAACTGTGGGCAACTCCATTTATGTTGATGGAATTAAGTTGTATATGAGAGGAGAATCATACCCTTAGATACTAGTTAGAGGAGACTTTGAGGGAGAGGGGGCGGTGTTGAAAATAATCCGCAGGAAGGTTCTGAAATAAGGGATTAAAGGAAGTGTGCTTCACATTCTGAAATCTTCTACAGCTGAGCCAGAGTTGTCAGGCAATAGTGGGGATGGGGGTCCATCCAGCTCTCATGACTTGGAAAATTATCTACTAAATCTTACCTGCCAGAAAAATAGCAATTTTCAAATTACCTCTTCCTACAAGTAGAATGTAACAAATGTAACAATTGATGGCTGATTACGGCTCCAATGCAGCAAACCAAATGAGCACATTAGTTAGTTATTTTAGTTTGCAAGTGGTTACTCTGACTGCTAAGTGCTTAAAGTTAAGTACATGCTTAAGTGTTTTGTTGAACTGAGGCCTAAAATCCCAATGCTTTATTCTAAACTCATTTTCATGAGTATGATTTCTTTGATGCCCAGTTAAATTATTTCTAAGCTAATGCAATGTCTGATCAGAATAAAAAAAAAAAACAGTGGAATATAATTATTTTGCTACCCATTGAAATTATTTCAAACTGCCTGGCTATTTAGTCATTTGGACATTGTACACTCAAACCAGGAAGGGCCGGAGTCAATGGTGAAAACTAGGAGTAATTCCCTGGGAGAAAAAGGAGCTAAATTGGTATAAATAAGAAGAGAATGGGCACCAAAAAGTGTAAAAGTTGTTTACCTCTTTGTTCTGGTTTAAGACAGTCAGACAGCATATAAAGTTGAGAAGGAATGCAAAGAATGTAGCAGACCATGAATTTGCCTCAAAGAAACTGAACAGCAGAGTTAAACATAGCCTTCCTTAATTTGATGCTAATTCTAAGCTTTTTCAGGCACAGACAGAGATTATTTTACCTCAGATAAATAAAATGCATTGAGGGTCTCAGTATTTTTCTTAGAGCACACAGTAAAGTGTCATAATCCAATCAAACTGGTTTTCTATACCCTCATTTATTTATCTCTAGCAGATTTATCTCTAGCATAATTAGTCTATAACTACCCAACCTTCAAACATGCAACCTATATGTAACTTAAGGTAGTTACCAATCAACAAATAGAAAATCATGTTTCTTCTCGAAAGGTGTAATTATCTAGGGTCGGGTTCTAAACACGTTGCAAAGAAGAGGTATTGCTCATTAGCAGTTAAAACTGCAGTTGTGTTGACACTTACAGAAATACTTACAAACAGAAATGAAATCTTAGATGTTTGTGGCCCAGCAGCTTGCTCATCATTGTGGTTTTAAAAGTTATGCCAGTGGTTTATTATTTAGATGTATTTTCATTAAGTGAACACAACTGAAATGTTGCATCTGAGTGAGCTACAAAGTAATGCTGACAAATAGCACTAAAGAAGAATTAAGAATTACGCAGTTAAATTGTACATTATCATGTAAATGGCAAAGGAACACCACATGGGATTTTTGTGCATTGTATTGAGAGATAAATGCTGCAAGCTATAAATACAAGTTAAATAAAGAGCCTTGTCAGTTAGCGCAGTTGAGTGAAAGCTGCTGTTGGGGCAGCTCTCAGATTTAAAAAAAACATAGTTGGTAAAGAGCACTGCACATTAAAACTGTACCAAGTTTAGTCATGTGCTTGTAGAACTCTTTCCTTGTCCTTACAAATGTTAAAACAATAAACTGTCAAAGAAAATTATTTAGCTGTGGGATTTAGCCTGCCTAAAATGATTATTAACAGATATCAGACCATCTCCTACTACAAATGTGTGCCTATGTTGTACTCATTCAACTCATGGGAAATGTAGCACTCCAAATGGCAATGAAAGCACCGAAGTAATCTAAAATATGCACTGAGTACACTGCAGCCTTGAATCAATAAAGATATGCCTGTCCAGATGTGGAAGAAGTGATATTTCTGCTTGATAGCATCATACAGTTTATATCTAGAGTTTAAAGGAATGGATTAAATTGTCAGATGTTGCCCTTTAATTTTGTCTTGATTGGCTATTGTTGTATTAGTAAATGCTGTTACAATTTTTTTTTTGTAAAAACAAACAAACAAAAATCCTCTGACAGTTAAATCATTTTTCTTTTTGTTTGTACACCCACTCCTTTAAAACTTATGACATTGACTTCTAATACGATGGAAATTTTCTAAATTATATTGTTTGCTGGAAAAGCCTTCTGGTTGTGATTACACTTGGTCCCAAATTGTAAATACAGGATGCATAAAGTTGAAACACAAAGGAGAGAAAGCTAATATAAAGTAAGAACTATAGACAGCACAGGGAATGTTTTTTGTTATAGCAGCACTTGAGTTTGCAGTAACAGGTTGGTGCACTAACTGAACACATGATGACGTTGTCTACACCCTACTTGCACTGCCTTAAGCAAGTCAACCTCAATAGACTGTTTAGCTATTTCAGTGCAAGACTAAGGGGTGAACAAATTTCAGAATAAAAGCCTAAGTTAACTAAAAAAAACCCAACAAATAGTCTAGTTGCACTTTAAAGACTAACAAAACACGCAGATGGTACCATGAGCTTTCATGGGCAAAACCCACTTCTTCAGATGTCATCTGAAGAAGTGGGTTTTGCCCACGAAAGCTCATGGTACCATCTGCATGTTTTGTTAGTCTTTAAAGTGCTACTAGACTATTTGTTGTTTTTTAAGTTTTTCCTGTTACAGACTAACTCGGCTACTCCCTGAAGCTTTTAAGTTAACTAAGGCTGGTAACAGGAACTCTGATTCCAAAATAAAGGTGTTCAAATACCAACAAGCACTAAAATCAGTAAATCAGTTTAGGAAAGGAAAAGAGATCTGAAAAAGGACATTTGGAAGTCCTGATTATGCTCTTTTAAAACTTAGTATACATTAAGAGTAGTGCTACTGAATCAAGCTCTATTTATCTTTGGAAAAAAACCCTGAAGATCAAGTGTTGTTTTAAAATTCAAATCAAGTATTTGGAACAAAGAGGTAAAACATTAATACCCTTTTACTGAAATATCAATTTCTTTTGTATGTTACAGAAGAACTTATGAATATATCTAAATGTACACAAAAGGCAGACTTTGTAAAATAAAAGTCTTCTTATAAAAAAATAAAAAGTCAAAGTAAAGTGCATGAAACTGATTCCCTTCCCCCTCATTTGACTACTGAGTCCAAAGTCTTATTACAACAACATTTAAAACCCTGGGATAATTTCTTTTCACCCATTAGTCAGTTATTTTAGTATTCAACCCAAAAAAACAATGATTAGAAATAACAGACACTTATAACCTGAAACAGATTAACCAGATGCTTCAGACAAAGGTGACAAACTACTGGGATATTGACTTTCTATATAGTTTTCAGTAACAAGAATAACAAACAGGTAATAGATCCATTCTGGCTACAGGTACTAATAGGAAAAGAGCCGCCATGAAAGGGGCACTTTTGCTGGTTAAGGGCTCCTGTATTGTGCAATCAATTCTTGGTCTACGAATGTCATGGTTTTTATATTAAATAAATGGCCATATAAGAAAATACACAAGTGTACCTGGCTGCCTCCATTATAAGAAAGGCAGTTGATCCCAATCCAGTTAAGGACAATAGTTTTTGTACAGGGTCTTTTAAGCTGGCAGCCAGCTGTACTGAGTGAGTTAAGGGAAATACTGGAGAGGCATGATTTTTTTTAAACTCCGGAAAGAGACCCAGTGTGGAAATAATACAAAGAGATATAATAACACTGATAGCACTTTTCATCTTCAGAGCGCTTCAGAAACATTAATTAATTACTCCTCGCTAAAGCCCTGTCAGGCGGGCAGGTAAGCATTATCACCCAAGCTTCACAGATGCAGTGAGCAGAGGCAGATGTTTTAGGGTCTCTTCCTGCAGGTCAACAGTAGTTCATGGGGCAAAGAATACTCAAGCTAGATTGAGGCATCTAAAGCTATGCAGAGGGTCCAGTCCTATCTGAGTGCCTCTCTTAGGTAGCTGAGTACATTCAACTCCCTTTGAATTCAAAGGAGAGTGAAGGGAACGCTCAGGCTACATCTATGCTGCAGCGCTATTTCGGGATACCGGAGTATTCTGAAATAGCTATCCCATGTCTTCACAACAAGCCCATTATTTGGGGCTCACTATTCTGATGTCCCTGTAAACCTCATTCCAAGAGGAGTAAGGGACGTTTCAGAACAGCGGGTTATTTTGAAATTTGGCGCTGTGCAGAAATACACTATTTTGAAATAAGATATGCAATTTGTGTAGATCAAATTTCATATCTTATTTCCAGCTACGGTGCAGTGTAGATTCACCCTCACTCTCTCACCAGACTGCTTCTTAAAGAGCCCAGCAAAATGAACCACTTAAGAAAGACTCCATCAGTCAGAGATGAGGAAGCTGGACTATTTCCACCACCACCACCACAAAGTCCCAGTCCTGTGTTCAACCCATTAACCTGCCCCTCCTTTCCATGAGGAAACTGGTTCCTGAATGAATGATTTTGGCCTCCTATTTCCAACCAGAACATGTTACAACTGCAAAGAGGTTAGGGGGGAAAACTCAGTCCTCCCCCTTGGGTTACATAAATACAGGACAGTAGTGACAACCGATCACAGTGAAGTGGCCATGGCTTTGCAGTGCAAAATGTGCTTATGGACAAAGTCTATCCTGCCCTGCAGCAGCTGGGCCTGCTGCTCCGACAGGAAGCCCAGCCGGCCTGAGAGGGGCTCATGAGTCCGGTAGAGTCTCAGCAGCTCTGAGGCTGCGTTCTGCAGGCGGTGCAGCTCCCACACCCGCTGGGCAGTAGCCTCCCGGAAGATGCACACGGAGCGCAGCAAGGGCTCATTGTACTTGTCCCACATGGAGAGGAGTCTGTAGCCATGCACCAGGCCTGCCTCGTTATCTATGAAGACGAGACCCCCGTTGGGTGCCCGGTGCAGGTTGCTGGTGGCCCGGTGCATCACCCTGGGGTCCCACTGCAGGCTGAAGAGGTTGCTGACCAGGCGGTCGAAGTTGGCCGTCAGATAGTCAAAGAGGATCAGGTCGGTCCATTGCACCAGCTCCACCAGCTGGGCCTGGGTGAGGCCGCTCAACTCCCCGGCAGCCAGGGGCTGCAGTCTCCTGCCCGACCCCGCCTCGGATCTCCAGGGGGCGGGAGCCCCCACGTCAGTCAAG